TAGCTATAGCTGGTGGCATGTACTGGTTTGGCTGGCAAGGCGCGATATTTGGACCACTTATGCTGTGTTTCTTTATTGGCATGGTTGAAATTGCTGCTGTTGCAATGCGCTCCAATGATGATACAAGGTCAGTTTAAGATATAAAAATTAAGAAAAAGTATTTTTAATTTATGTAAGTGATTTATAATAAGTATTGCTTTAATGTTATCTAATTTAAGCGTGAAATGCTAGTTTTAATATAGCATATAAGATAAATTGTTAGTTTGATAGAGACATAAGATTCTAAGAGGAACAACACTAAAGTAGATATACTAAATGTTTATAATTATAATTTTTTAAGCTTTTTAAATATTTTGTTCATTTGCAGACGTAGTTCAGATGAAGATACACGCACGACGTGAGTTAATTTAAAGAACAACGCATTTTATTGATGTTAAATGAAATCAAATCAAAATCAAATTAATTCTGTTTTATTTTCATGAATTCAATATTGGCTGCGTTTTTGAAATTTTATGTTTCACTTAAATCTACAAAAATTTCTCATATATCATATTTCCTCTGACAATTTCTAACAAAAATCAATTTACTTCGGCTTATTAAAAATTAATTATATTAATTTTTCTTTTATTTTTTTTCCTTACGCATTCCTTGTTTTGTTTTCTTTCTTTAGTGCACGCAGACATTCGTTATATGATTTTAATTAATTAACGCATTTAGTCAACAGCAAATTCTTATGAAATTCTACGATTTAAGTACGTCTACAAAGCAACTGTAATAGAAAATTACCTCGAATTTTGTTAATTAACTAATATATACTACTGTTAATACTAAAACAAAGGACACTCTACTAAATCACGTTACTAATTAACTAACATTATATTTAACAATGAAGATTGCATAAAAACAGACTTGATTTTGATGTAGATTATACATGTTAAAATATTTTTAATAACTAAATAAACTAAATAGTTATATATAATAGTATTAATTAAATATTTGTTAATTATGCAAAAAAGATTTGTACTGATAAAATATATGTCCTAAACCCCGTGTATCTAAGTATTACGAATAGATATATATATATAATATTATATATATTAATTGTTTTGCAATAAACAATCAATGTTTCCAATCAATGTAATGTAAATAATAAACTAAAATTTATTTTTTAATGATTATATGAATGTTTACTAAAATTAAGTTTTACTCTTCCTATACAATTTTAATTGCAGAATAATATTTCATTTTTATATAAAGCGATCTTCCTTGTAATAAATATTATAAATCTAAATAATATTAAATTCCATATACTTTTATGTTGATAATAATGAAAAGCGAAACTAAATAATTATATTTTCTTATATATTTTTTTTGTTATAAATAATGGCAATATTTTTATACTTTCTAATTTAAGTTAAAGTTTTATATATTTAAAATTAAGCTTGTAACATCAAAAATATTAAATAGTTATTAAATCTAACTATACATTAAGACTGAAAAGTTTTCGGAAATTCTCATTTAAAATTCGCGCGCTGTATATTTTTCGATATTTTAAGTTTATGTAGTTTGGCAGCACTGTCCTTAATTACTATGCCAAAAATGAGCTCGATCTGTCAGACAGTTCGTTTACGGCAGCTGTTGAAACCAGTTCACCTCAGTAGTGCGTTGCGAAATGTCTTCGACGGTCGTACGACCGTCCTGGAAGGCTTTGTACCACTCATAAACTTGAGTTTTCGATAAAACTGATTCCCCATAAGCCTTTTGTAGCATTCGCAACGATTCTGCACACGAAATTTCGTTCGAAACACAAAATTTGATGCAAACTCTTTGTTCAATATTTTTTTCCATTGTTTTTTTCGCAACGCCCTACTGAGGTGAACTGGTTTCAACAGCTGCCGTAAACGAACTGTCTGACAGATCGCGCTCATTTTTGGCATAGTAATTAAGGACAGTGCTGCCAAACTACATAAACTTAAAATATCGAAAAATATACAGCGCGCGAATTTTAAATGAGAATTTCCGAAAACTTTTCGGTCTTAATGTATATTAACAAACATATTTTGGAAGCAAATGTTCTGATAATACTGTACATAATATGTCAAGAAAATGTTTGCTATATGCGTTTTATAATAATAATTAATTAATTTTATGAAAATCTTTATTATTATGTGACTATTTTGTTTTAAAGTTTTTTGTTACTTAATTTTTTTTATACAAAACCAGATAAATAGAAGTTAAACTTAAAAAATTACTTGTTTTACAAAAGTGAATAAATCACTGATTACGAATTATTATTAAAACGTCACTGTAAAATACAAAATTCTACTATATGTAAATGTCAGTCTACTCATACAAGTAGTCACTGCTCCTCTGACCTCAAATCAGTGTTTAGTTTAATGGCTTGAGGTATTTGAACATTACAATATTCCAACTCCCATGGTATATTTGAATTCGAATACTTGGTGCAAACACTAAACATATTATAACTACTCAAGCAACTTTAATTCAGTTCTTAAATTTTTCTTAAACCTCAATGTGCCTATTTAAAAAGTTTTTATTAATTTTATAAATATATTCAAAATCGAGCATTTGGAGCTAACACTTTAAATGTTTGAACTGCTTGAATAAGTTCTAGAGACTTGGGCAGCTCATCCACTTTATTTCAAAAACTTTCTGTGCCTATTTAATACGTTCTATTAATATTATAAATACAAGGTTAATGAATCATTATATGTATTTTTTCCTTCTTTGTTATCCCGAAGAACTTGTCTATTCCAATATTATCATAAAAAAGAATCTCCTTGTCACAATTGTGTTTGTTATTCTATTAATTTTTTTTCTATTAAAAATATTTTATATATTTCATAAAACAGATGTATTAGAATAGTATTGTATTATTATACGAATTAATTTAAAACACAACCATCGAATAAAAGATAATTAATATACATTACTGTTATATTCTTTCAAGTACCGTCCGTTCTTTTAAAGTATATCTCCTAGCCAATAAAAAATTAATTGTAGATTATATTACTTTATATATTCAAAGATAATATACATAATTAAGTATAAAATTTCTTACAAAAAATATATAATAAGGCATATTTTTTTATTTAACTATAACAACGATAAATGCATTTAAATATAAAAATTAATTTTTATTCGAGATCTATGGTCTTATTTTCGTTCTCTCTTCAATATCAGAACATTTGTCTTTTGCGTATGAAAACTAATAGTTTTATAATTTTTATAATGTTTATATACCACACTAAACTTTATATTTTATATGTCCAAATAAAATGCATAACATATAAGAATTGGTTTTTTATTAGTATTCGTATTAAATAAATAAATTTTATATTAAAATTAGCAGCAATACCGAAGTAGTCGATGTAATCGCTGACCTGGTCTCAAGCAGCATGAATGCAAAAATGGGAACTACAAAAAAATTGAATATAGAAATTACGAATAGTGATTCACAAGATCACAATGCAAATCCGTTACTTAATCGTTATCATGAAGATATTAAGGTTTCCAATAAAAATGATTTATCAACGGAACCAAAACCATCTGTGGGTGCAGAAAAACTTGTAAATAAAGTATTACCAAAGCATAATAAACAAATAAATATTTCGGATAAAGTTGATGTGCCAAAAGATTCAATACCTATTGTAGAGGAACCTAAAGTTGTGAACAAATTATTCCCAAATTATGTTGACCAAGAAAATATTCCGGACAGTGTTGACCTACCAACAGAATCAAAAACTACTACAGATAATGTAAAATTTATTCCTCAAACAAATACTATAAGTTCTACCGTACCTTCGGAAAGAGTTGAACTTAAGATTATATCAAAAATTATAGTGGCACAAAGTGATCAAATTAATTATTGATTTATCTGTAATTTAAGTACAAAATACAATTTTGTAGCTTATTTATATGACAATTTATGTATAATTGCATTAAATTATGCATTTCTAATAGATTAAATAAACAATATTTAATGAGAGTAAAAAAATATTTTTATAAAATTTTTATTTATAGATGTATATAAAATATATAACTAAATATTATTTTGTTAAAAAACAAAAAACACGAATAAATATTTTTGAATTTAAGCATTTTCACTTTAAAAATTGCATTGAATCCTCCATTATTTATTGACAATGTTCCATAAGAAGTACTACAATTATGATTATTACAAATTAAAAAATAGAAAAATTACAAATAAGTTATATCAATTTTGATATATGGGCATTATTAGTATTATCTTAAATAATTTTTACCTATTGGTTTTATTTTTTTAGTAGATATTTGTTTTACAAATTTTAGTATTTATATCTACAATTGTATTATACGTAATATATAGTACATTATATGTATTATATTGTATTCTACCTAATTATCTGTGTTGTTTTAAATCGGAGCCTACTTTTAATTTTGATTTATCTACTTACAAACTACGAATAGTAAGTTTCCAAGTGAAAAAATGAAAAGTGATTTCTAAAAAAAAACTATTGTATACATATGATTACACCAATGTACACTTCCAAAGTCCATTGATGATGGATATTTGTCAATATCCGAAACAATTGTAAGGTAAGCTATTATATTTAATATAATATTTTATAATAATTGATTTACATATAAAGGTTTTCATTTACAAGGAACCACTTAAAACAAACCTGTGGAGTTTGGTTTACGCGAAAAATATTACATATAATTTAAAAAGATATAGTAAACTCGTAGATTCCTTAGACATTTAATAAAATCAAAACTAATAATCTCTCTTTTGTTTTATTAGGATATATTAAGATTATTTAAATTATATATATCTTCAACTTATATATAGTGATTTTATTAATTTTCATTTAACAAATTTTGAGTAATATAAGATATAAAAATATATAACTATTCCTACACAATGTTCAAAATAGATTATTATTTATGTTCTGGAACTATTGGCGTTAATTATATATGAATTTCAAACAAAATTATTTAAACAAATTTTTTTTATTAAATATAATCAAAATTAAAATGGAAATTCTGGATGATTTGTAATACCCTTAAAGAAAGAGAAATCACAAACTCTTATATTTTCATCCAACTTAGATAATGTTTGTATTTCCTCAGCAGTTAATTTAAAATCAAAAATATTTAAATTTTGTCGTAAACGTACAGGATTTGTACTTTTTGGAATAGCTGCTAAGCCGTTATCGAGTACCCAACGTAACAAAATTTGTGCTGTAGTTCTACTATGTGCCTTGGCTATAGCGAGAACTTCAGGAACATTCATCAAATCTGGAATTTCTCGTTCTACACCAGCTTTTTTATTCAATGCTGCGATGCCTTTGGAACCAAGTGGTGCATATGCAGTGACAACTATATTTTCCTCCTTACAGTAATTAATCAAATCACGTTGTTGTAAGTATATATGATGTTCAATCTTAAATCATATTAATATATAGAAACATATTTTATATATTTTTTTTTGATAATATTAACTCACTTGTAAATTAACGGGACGTATTCTACAGCTTGGTAACAATTTTTGAATTTGTTGTTTATTAAAATTTGAAAGTCCAATGGATTTTGTGTAACCATTATCAATCATTTCTTCCATTTTCTAAATACATAAATTTTTAAATGTTAATAAAAAATACATATATATATTATATACCTTCCAAACGGCAACATGATTTGTACTTGAATCAATAACCACATCACCATTTTCATCACGTTTGATGTCTCCATCGCCAAAATACAAAGTAAATGGTGTATGGATCAAATATAAGTCTACATAATCCAACTGTAAATCAGCTAACGATTGCTTAATCGTTTCCTCAACTTCTTCAGGTCTGTTAGCTGTAAAATACGTTTTTAATTAATTATATTTTTAAGTGAGTTGAAGTAATAATTATTACCAATTGGTGGCAATTTTGTAACAATGAATAATTCTTCACGGCGTACTTTCCCTGAATCTAACCACTTCTTGAGTACGCGACCTATGGCTTTTTCATTTAAATAAACTGGTGCGGTATCAATGTGACGATATCCTTCATCTAATGCTAAATCTATGGCACGTTCTATTTCCTCCTCTGTAGCCTGAGAATTTATAATTTTGTAATTTATTGAGAACTGGGTTAATTTTAATAACAAATAATATAAAATTTTATAAGGATTTCATAAAAAATCATAATTTTTTCTAGTAAATTGTTAATACTATAATTCTAATGAAACAATTTATATTTGTTTTTATTTGTATTTTGTTTGAATATAAATTAATGTACGACTAAGAATTATTAACAAAAAATAGCTTTAATGATAATAAATAGCTTTAATGAATACTAATAATAGTATTCATTATTATAATAGCTTATACCCAAAAGCTTATTTTAGTGTTAATAATGGTCCCTTGTGATGTTAAGTATACCACTATCTAAAAGTCAGTACTAAAAAATCACTTTTAAAGCAGAAATCGGAAGCATCTAGCACGATTTATAAATTTATGGCTAGATATGGAGCTAGATATGAATATAAGCAACTCAATTAGTAATGAAGAAAATTTCAGACTTATCACATAGCATACTGCCATCAATATGCGACTTAAAATCAATGATTAATTTTAATTATAGATCATCACCAAGTCTCACATTCATGAAGATTAATTTTATTTAACTCAGTCTCGGTGACCTTTCATTTTTGTCGCATTCGGTGGTCCCCTTACCGTGTCTATCCCTAAAATTCAATTGTAACATTGTCCATTGTGAAAATAATCATTTTGTGTTTTAATAGAACTTAATATATTTCTCAAAGAGAGCTCAAGGAATAAAGTTAAGAGGCAACATATTTTCGGCTCAGCCATTGGATAAAATATATTAAAAAATTTTTAAGTTGTTTATTAATATTTATAACTGATTTGTAAGTATATATAATTTATATGTATGTAATTTAGAATTAATTTAGACTATTATTTCAATACATTATATACACAATTTTATTAATATTTTTTTTAATTAAAGAAATCTTTTTTAAATTATGTGGCAACAATGTTATTTGTGTAGTTCTCCCGTTTTTAGAAAAGTGAGATTATTGTAGCATCGTGACAAAAACAGGAACATTAATGGATCACGAAACAAATACACAGTGTGGGAATAGATGAGTTGTACTTGAGTACATGCCGGATCTGCGTCGTTGAACCATTTATCATTTCAAATAAATGACTATCACATATCCCAACAAGTGATTCAAAAAAAAAAACCAGAAAATTACTAATTCATTCATATCCCTATGAACGGTGGGACTTTTACAGTAGTGCCGTTCGCACATTTCATTCATTGCATACATTCCTTGTATGAAATTTGGATTTAAAATGTATTCGTCGATCTTTATGTTCATATGGATATACCGAAACCTATTGCAATCGAACTAACATCAGTGAACTCGAATATAGACGTGAACTAACAGCCCTACTCATAGATGCAATATCTTTTTCGAGACGAAGATTGCACTGCAACCATTTTCTCAGTGGGTCCTCACCTATTATTTCCTAGAAAGAACGACCTCTTACACGCGCAGCATGAACTGTCCTATTTTAATTGAGATTAATATATTGATTGTCATGTGCTAAACAGTTATTTGTTACGCATAAATGTGTCTATTTCCCAAGTGTGCCCTAATGGTTGCTCTAGCGACCATAATGTTGCCAATGTTTCCTTGTCTCTATGCACACACTAACTTTAGTCCAATCGATCTTTGGACCCGTCCCTTTGTCTAGTGTTTTTCAAATTAATACTGATTAGCTTCAATGTAAATCCCACTCATCCCCAAACCATTTTTGCTTCTAAACATTCCCTTCCATTCT